TTGCATCCATTGGATCCCATCAAACTATTGAAACTTTGAGAAATACAGCAGATCTACATTTCTACATTTCTGTGTTGATGTTACATTGATGTAAAAAGTCAATGGAAATCTGGAAAGTGGGGAAATAAAATAATTTTGATTTCTAAAACCAGCATCTGTGATGTAAAGCATGGGTGATTTGTAGTACACAGGCTAAAACATGCAGAGGTTACCTAACAACTAAGTGTTTCTACAGCTCCTCATCACTCAAGAGATGGATCAGTCTTTCACTCAAACTCAACACCTACATGTCAGCTCTCAAAAATCCTTGACACAAAAGGTCAGGACCAGAGGTGGAGCTGTGTTCATGTTATTGTGTGTCAGTAAAGGTGAGCTTCCCCGCACTAAATCCAGTTTGAACCTGACTGAGGAATCCGCAGAGGCTTAAAGACCATCGCTACTGGGAATGAGTGTTACTTAACCTCTGTCAGCGGGGGGGGAATTAGAGGTCAAGGGTGACACTGTCCAGGCAGGTGACCTGTGGAGAGCCATAACGGGTGGAGAACCCCTCAAAGAGGACAGCTGTGAAGATGTATCAACAAGAGGTGAGGTGAGAAAAAAACGCCCAGCACCTAAAACCTCACTTGGAGGTCCACCATCACTGTTGTGTATTCATTTAGAGAAAATTAACCAAAGCAATGAACAGGTATTATTAATTATTTCAGATTGACATCCCTCCTACATTGGATTTGCTTTAGTCTGAAATAGACTGGAATTGCAATATTTACCACCATTGATTTGATGAAATTGGGTTCATTTTGGTTATTTAGGTAACTGAGAGATTTTTAGATGTCAAGATTACATTTAACAGTTGTTTCAATGACTGTATTAAATGTAGACATTATATAGTGCATACTGTCTGTACAGGTGCATTTCAGAAAATGAGAACATCGTGAAAAAGTCCCCCCCGTAATTTAATTTAAAAATTAAACTAACTGGTTTGCTGACCATGGTATTCCTGTGCTTGGTTGGCCAGCCAACTCTCCTGACCTGAGCCCCATACAGAATCTGTGGGGACACCAGACCAACAATACAGACATGCAGACAATCAATTCGCTAAGCATAGGAGAACCAGAACTTTACATCACTGTCCTTATCTCAGTTACTCAACATCTAAAACACTGCATTATGGAAAGTGTTGATTTTTTAAAGAACAACAAGAACAAACAACAAATCATAGATGAAGTTCAGGTTGCCAGAAAGTCTTTGTCCTGCAATGTTCTAAATTCAGCATGCTCGGTTTCCAGATAAACCTTGTAATGTTAGCTGGAACTGCAGTAATGTTAGCTGGAACTGCAATAACTCTCAGCTCACATCAGTGTGCAAGTCAGCTCCCTCAAGACCTCCAATTCTGGCAACCATTTATGGGTTCTGGTGCCAGAACACACCCAAGTCTATCAACCCTCAGCTGCAAATAGCCTGATATGTTGAGCTGCCTTGATGGACGTTCTGTTAGAACGCATGTAGGGTTTGCTGATTGTTTGTATTGTTCTGCTCAGCTTTCTGAGGATATGATGTCAAACATACATCTCCTCCTTCTTATACACCCCGACATTTGTTCCCTAGTGGCTAGCTCAGAATGTATTACCGTTCTTCAATGAGCTGCTGATAGTCACAGGACAGCAAAGCCACATGCAACGCTGTGGTTTTGATGTTGCACAGTATAAGCCGAGAGCTTTTCAGTACAAGGGTTTCCCAGTGAAAACATGACTGTTAATTGAAGCACCTGAGAAGCCTCCTGCATTTTGTGAGCTTATAAAGAAAACTGTTTAGTAGCCTATAATACCAATAACTCCACACCTTCCTCTCTTATCTTTCTGCCTTGCTTTTTTTAAATGCAATTGTAAGTAAGATTTGGACTGCTTGTCTCAATCGAGGGCTGTGAGCCAGGGGGCAGCACTCAGGGTTTGCTGCTCTCCTGCCAAACAGCAGCAGGGGGCTCTAATTACCAAATGAGAGGACTGACGTCTGGCGGAGCCCTGGGGCCATAACCAGCAGGGTCAGGGGTCATTCTGTGTGAGGAGGCAAGGGGAAAACCAGACACACTCACATACTCCTATGTTTGGAGTGTTGTTAACCTACAGCTGGAATGTTCATGCTTAATCATATAGCTCATTATCAGATTATACAGACTGCAGCTCCAGGCCAAGTCACAGGCTTCAAAATTTTAAATATGTGAAAGGTTTGTCACCTGATCTTAAAACCACAAAAACTGAAATGCTTTCCAAAACTGGCCGGGCTGTAGAAAAGACAGAATTTATATTTTAAGCCAAAAACAAAGAATAAACTAACTCCCCAGCAGCAATGTAACACATGTTTAGTGGAGTTGATGGATGGAAAAACTAAAAGTTTACACTCTATTGTGTAAATGTTTCTGTTTGACATAAACCTCCCTCAATATCTTTTGGGCTACCAGTGAACTCAGTGAACCAGAATCTACTGGACAATTACTGTGTGATGTTAATATTTAATTCAGCATCACATGAGAGAATTGATCCATCTGAAGAACTTGGAAAGCCAACAAATCCCAGCAGCTTGCCAGAAGAACCGCAGTACTTTATTTTCTTATTTGATCAAGAATTTATGTCATCAGGATAAAAGTCATGATCAAATTAGTCAGGATTGTTTTTCAGAGATACTGTATGTAGCTTTTTAATGAAAACAGTCACACAGTCAATTTGCCTTTATTTTGTGCATAATTATGGAGAAACAATCCCAACTCAAGGTCCACATGCCCGCTTTTCTCTGAGCTTTCAACGACATCACATTCATAAGTATATGGAGTTTGCTCAGTTGTCACAGACATGGTTGTGCTGAGGGCTGAGCTTAGTAGCTATCATAATTTCATCATAGCAATATTACAGTATGAAGACCATGTGGTATTGTTGGAAGCTCCAAAAAAAAAAAGGTTTTTCAAGGTCAAGAAAGTAACTGTTTATTTTGTTGATGAAACAATCTCACCAAAAGGTGCATTTTATAGATGTTCATCTCTATCATATCACTTCTAGATCTATATAGCAGATGGAGTTTGCACAGCTTTCATGGGATATGTTCATACTTGTTTTTCTGAGCACTCTAATGACTTCTCGTCCATATTAAAGGCTGAGGTTTAAAGTTCCGTTTTGACCATGGAAACAGCAGCTGAGGAACCAATCTCACCTCAAGGTCCATTTTAGTAGGGGACAGCGGGGTAAGTTGTCTCGTGTGTAAGTTGTCACACTGCTCCAACACTAGAGGCTCTATGTCAAAAATCAAATCAAGCCATTTTGTGTGACTTCTTTTTCGATGTTCAACTTCCTGTTTACATACTGTATGGTCACGGTCACTCTAATCTGAGGTGAGCACAATTTTATTTTATTTTTTTTTCTTCAAAAGTAAAACATTTGAATTTTACATTTTATGTATTCCAACCTTATTAGGTGTGAATGTTCAAAATGATAACTGCACAGAATAGAGGAGACATTAACTTGTCTTTTGATACTTCAGCTGAAGTGCTATGTTTAGCTAACCTTGAGATTTAGCCAACATTAGCACACATGTCAGTTTGGGGAAAGTTGTCTCAATAACTTTGATAAACACGGAGAACATGTTCAAAAAACTATGTGAAATTGTGTAATTACATCTAGTTCTAGTACCTCTATGACACTAGTTTACAGAAGCAGCCATATGCCTGGACAAGACTGAATTCATGACAGAGTATATATGGTCTTATAGCGTTGGCATGTAGTGTGTTAGTAGATACAAACACACACACACACACTACATCATACAGTTATTAATTTAGTTAGGCAACAAGGGTAGCAGACAAATAAGCTTGTAATTAATTTGTAATTGCAAAGAGGAATGTGTTTTTGAAGGAAGGAAGAAAATTATCAACAGAAGACAGAGAATGGCAGTACACCACCTGACATAATGTTAAAGGCAGTCAGGCAGGTGAAGTTGAAGAACAAATCAATCAGAAGTACAGCTAAGGATTTTGACATAATTGTGGAGACATTTTTGTACAGTATTCCAGAGAGAAGATGTTGTTTAAATGTGTGAAATGCAACAAATGGGCCTGCGATGTTTGCACCTCAGGCCAGGCAATGTCTGTGTGCCAGAACTGTGACTCTAAACACGTCTGATTAGTCAGATACATATGTACGTTGTACAAAAATGTTTTTTGAAATTTTTGGATTAGTGTTTAAACACCACATCTGTTTAATTAAGAAGTTATACATTTAAGCAAGTTATCTGCAGCATTACATTCAATTACCATAGATCTATTTGCACTCCAGAGAACTTTTGATTTTAAGTTCAAAGAAAGACGTTGCGCCACTTAATGTGTGCTCTGCCAACATATTTGTTTTGAATTAAATTATTTATTTTCCAAATTCTCTAGGCTTGATTGTTGACTGATTTTTATTTTTAGTTCTGGTTACAATTTGAAATTGAAATCAATATTCACAAGTAAGTGTGATAATCCAGTGTGACAACTTACCTGCCGATGGGGCAAATTGTCACAAGTGCACACTTTCTATTAACAGTATACAACTCCACAATGAGATAAGATATGAAGATATGATGAATACAAAGCTTCTGCCCAAGACTTCATTCTTTCATTTGGTATGACATTTGTACCATTGTGATGTCCGGTGCTCAGTAAATATTAGACAGTGTGAAAAGTGTGACAACATACCCCGCTCTCACCTAACTATTTAAAAATTTACATTTGTTTTAATGTCGTAAAATAAAAAGGTCAAGAATCAAGTATCTTCTCTTTTTCTGGGAAACATTACATGTTCTATACAGTCTCGTCTTGATCAGATTTTCAATCAAATCTTCCACTGTTTTCATCCATCCGTTGTGCTGGAAACATCACCTCCAGTCAGATTGAGCCAGCTCCGGGCTCCACATACTGACAGCAGGAGGAGTCAGAGAGACAGCAGGGCTGCAGGAGGAGGAGGAGGAGGAGTTGGAAGAGGTTGCTGGGTGTGGAGGTGGAGCTTCGGGATTATTGTTCACCGGTTTGAGTGACTGACTGAGTGAACGTCTCCAAAGTTTGACCGGCCTCTCGTTTAATTGTCCTCTGCTGCACGTTTGACTGTTGACCAAACAACCTACCACCGAGTCACACTGTGGGCAAAAGTGACGCACGGAGACGCAAAGAAGAGTCTGGGCTCCAGGAGAAGTAGACCCGAAAGTTTTTGAAGGACTCCTGGTGTCTCTGCTGGAAGAGTAACCCATGAAACAAAGAGTAAATTTACTACTGTAGCTCCTCACTGACTGACTGACTGACTGTCCTCCATCCTGCAGACGCTCAGGAGGAAGATAATGGACTGAAACTCTCAGATCTGCTTCATTGTCTTGCGTGGAATCACACTAACAACACATGAGTTGGATTGACCGGACGCGCGGTTTCCATACTGTAAATCCTCGGGGATTAAAATAACGAGGGCAATGGATAATTTCTTCACGGAGGTAAGAGGGCACTGCTCAAGCCTTTTACTGCTTTTTTCAGCATGTTTGACACATTGGGCTTTGCATTGTTACATTAGTTAGACTTTTACTTGTTATGATTCCTATAATGAACTTTAGGATACATGAAACTATGAAAACATCTTAAAACATGTATTCATGAAGCATCTCAGCAGCAGTCTATGTCTAAAGGAATATTATAAGGGTACAAATACCATAAAGTGCAATAAAGTCAGCATGAACTCACTAAGTTACTGTATACCTAGAACTTACTGTAATACTAGTTTGTAGTAGTTCAAATTTGCCCTCAACTTACAGAATGACACACACACACACACACACACACACACAATGTAAACCTCTAAAGGCATATCATAAGAATATCAGAGTGTAGGGACTGTGCTGGTCAGAGGGGGGTTGGACTGGGTCCCGGTGGATCTGTGGTATTTCCGTACTTCTTTTCTGGTTTCCTTTTAGAAAGAAAGCCCTTTAAACCTATTAATAGAAAAGAAAAGATGAACCTGCATCCCACCAGGAGCTTTTGATTGGCCGGCCAACAGCAAAGGGACGTTTATTGAATGTTATATGAGGGGGTTCTAATTTCTAGGATCATCTGTGTGCAATCACTGTCATTTATTTCATGAAGCTGATAATTGATGCTGTAACAGTTTCAGCTGGTGCCTCTTTCCAGTGTTGGTGTTCTGAAAGCTGCTGTATGTTATTTGGTAATAATAAGTTAATGCCACCAAACAAATATTAGTATTTGTCATGTTGCTTGCTCATTATAAAGCTGTGTCTAAACTATTCCAAGTTCCTCTTCAGCTGTTTGATCATTATGAAGCAAAAAAACTTCTGTATTTCCACAACAACCATGATAATAAACCACAGTAGCTTACATTCTGTCAGGTGGGTAATCTTGATAGAAGCATTCTGGTTGTGTAAATCTTCCACGAGCTGTGACTCATGGCTAATAAGCATTCATTGCAGTTGTTTTACGACATCAGGATCCACACCTCTCTTTGGGGATGTTGGCCAGGTAACAGCAGCAACACCTGAGTCATATTTTTTTTTCCTTTTAGGACTCCAAGTATTTAGGAAAAGTGGTCACAGCGGCTGTCATTTTACTGACAGATAAAAGAACACAACACTGAAAGTGATTTAAAACCAGTTTCTCTTCAGGTGGTGCTGTAACGGTTAAACAGCTGCTTCCTGGTTGAAAGATTGCCTGCTTTGTCATTGGTGCTCCTACGTTTTCAAAATCCAGGGAGGTTTTCAGTGGTATGAAAGGCTAAAGGTCATAAGACTCACTGAGCTCATAGGCGCTTGAGAGAGCTGAGTAAAACAAACACTCTGAGGTTTAAGGGTACATACACCTCCTGCAGCAGAGTCGTGTCGGTCTCATGACGAGTGTACGGTACATCTGGCTGTTGAGCTCTCCCTGGAAGTCTAAGAGAGACTTTTTGAGTGCCAGAAGCAGGCAGGCGTGCACAATAGTCTCAAATATCAGCCTGCCTGCCTTTATATCTGCCAGCTAATCACAGCTGAAACAAAGAGCCCAGTCTTTAAGGAAAAGGGCATTTCACAAGGAAGTAAACCAGCTTCCATGCGGCCACAGATGGAGACCAAAAGTTTGAGCAGAGAGGAATTTGAACTAGAAAGGAAACTGGAGTGTTTCATATTTATATTGAAGACAGTTTAGATGAGGGACCCACAGTGACTGGGGCTAGACAAAGACACTATATAAAGGGCTTTGAATCTTCAACTGTCATCTCATTGAGAGAAACCTCCTTAAGATTACTGGTTTACTCCTTTAGTAAATATACTGTGTAAAAACACTGCTTCAGAAAGAAATTGTAGCTTTGCAAAATGTTTGTGTTTAATCCCTTTGTGTTTCACAAAATGTTGCGTTTAATCTTGACTTTGCATAATATTTGATCAATTCTGGTAGTTTCTTGAAAAGTCAGCCTGTATTTAGGTCTAATCCAGAAGTTTTTTTATTTTAATCACAAATTTAAAGTTTAAAAAAATTTTAATTTTCAGGTATAATCCTGTTTGTGTTTTTCCGTCGATGTTTTAGGTTTGTTTATGTGTTTAAACATTGAAGCCAGCAGGGGTTACCACTGCTATCAGGATCATTAATTTATCTAATTGAAGTTGCTCCTATTGTGCTCTATAACTGAATAACTATTTTTTGTGTGGAAATAAGGAGCCTTCAGCTGCAGGGTGTCAGTAGTTCATGCAAACTGTTTAACTTATAAACTGAATCATAGAAGGAAATATGTAAACATACTGTATGTAAACTTTTGAAACAGTGTTTTGGGAGGAGTTTGGTGAGGAGGAACTTTGTTACTAATATCCCAACACTTAAATTAAAACAACTGTCTCATTGTGTTCCAATTGGTGCATTTTAAAGTGATCCATTGAGTTCTCAAAGTGTTTCACAGGTGGAAGAGGTCGAAGAGTTTTTTCCAACAGCCTTACTTAAATTGAATGTTGTGCTGAAGAAATACAGCAATGCACATTGTCCCAAACTATAGAAACATAGATGTGTTGACAATGACACATCCTTTAGCAGAATGTTTCATTGTCTCTAATTACTAAGCTGTAGCCAAAACAGTCTGGACCAGAGTTACTCCAGAGACTATAAATAGAGTCTGACCACACATAAAGACTGCATATTTTCTTGAAATATGAATCTGTCCTCCTGGCCAATCAGAATCACTTTATGTCCTGTACAGGTTTTAGTCTGATGTAGAGAAAAGCTGCCAAACATAGAAACATGCTGCACAAACAGGACCTTATCTCAGGTGTTCTGGACCAGCAAGCAGAGCATAGCAGCAGCGTATTAGGATTTAAACTGCTGATAGTAAGGTCCCCCTATAATAAAGAGATGATGATGAGGCAGTGTCACATAATAGAATAATAATAAGTGTAATATACACACATACAAACCTATTCTGTATTTTTTACCACGTTTATGTTAAAAAAATTATCCAAAATTGGATCCCACAAAAATGAAGACTTTTTGCAGAGTGGAAAAACGTATTAAATTGCATTTTGAAACACTAAAATGATCAACTGAAAGACCAAGACCAGCAGCTGTTTCAGGCAGGATGAGGCAGGTTTCATTCAGGTTTAACACCCTTGAGGCTGCACATGAGAATAATCCTGTTTGGTGGGCACCAATGATTGGCTAAAGTCCAGTATTATTATATCCAATGAACAGGCAACAGTGTCTTCTGAGGCAGCAGGTCCTGCAGAGAGAGTGTGTGTGCGTGTGTGTGTGTGTGTGTGTGTGTACACAGTGGAGTCAGTCAGTCAAGCCTGTCAAATGGCTACAAGGTTTGTGTTTATTTGAACTGATGGGCGTGATGCGAAGGAAGGCTTCATCTATCCACCAATCAGAGAGCAGGCTTGTCTCAGGTGGGGGTTTATAATGATTATTGTGTTAGTCAAGACAACTGTATTCAGAGTTCTTCACACCAGACACACAGATATCCAATAAGTGGAACATGAATCCTGAGATCCGTCAGGCTCTGGGAAAACAGGGATTAATGGTAGAAGGATTGCACAGTGCACACATTGCTTATGTGTCACTTTTGACACAAAGCGTTTTTAAGAATTGAAAGAAAACAAGAAGTTAATCACCACAACAATGATTTCCAATGGGCGTTATCAACGGGCTTTAGACCAAAATGCTTTTTTGCGTTTGTTTGATTTGAGTTCCGTGAGCGTGGTGCGTGCACTGGATGGACCTGCAGGTCCAGAGCTACAATCATTTGGGGCAGCGAGATGTCTGACTTTTCAAATCTGGACCAGTGACACTCCTCTGGTTTTGGGTGGAAAGCAGTCTGGTTAGGGGGGTGCCAGACATATCTGCCAGTGCAAATGAAACATGAACTCGGCAGATATGTCTGGTTCACAGGTTAACAAAAGGCCAGAATAGTTTCCACAAGTTTATGTCCACAGTTTCTTTTAAGTTTGCCATGAACTTTTGAAATTATTGACATTTTCCTCAAAAAGTAGCCAGCCAGAGACAAGTACCAGGTCTCTGAGTAATTTGAGTTTAGGTGAACTGATCCTTTAAGGCACTGGCTCCTAACCTTTTTGGCTTATAAGCAAATGAAGCTATGCCTTTTCCACCCTACATCAGATACTGTATATCCACAGGCTGTGACTATACACTTCAACAACCCGGTCTCACTCCCAAGTCGTCACATATGGACGCTTGGTCAAGAGCCATAATCGTCAGTTTGTGACGCACTAGGGATCCCTTTGACGTCATTGTTCGACGTATTGAGGGAAGCCCTGTTGTGTCAGTTTTTGATGGTAAAGGCAAGTATGATATTTAAGAGAAAAGATGAAGTAAGGAGGTGATTGGGGTGGATAGAGGGCCAGAACCCGGACCTTGAAGCAGGAGAACAGGGTTTGTGTCCCGTGCGAAACAAAACATTAAATGTTTTTATTTAGGCGAGTGAGGTAAATTGACATTAACGTTAGTTAACTTAAGTCTTAATTGACATACATAGCTATTTTAACCCAAACCATGATCTTTTCCTAACCTTAACCAAGTAGTTGTGTTGCCTAAACGAAACTGCAACGTTTCACGACTTTAATTATGCGCGTTTCAACATGGCAATGTATCGAAACGTTACGTTTTATCTTGAAAGTGTAACCGGATATTGCATATTTATTGTTGCTAAGCGTTGCTAACTTGACTGTGGATCCCTAAACGTCAATAATTGATGCAAAAGGGCTACCCAAGTCTTTAAAAAGCGACAACAAAGGGCCTTGACCATGCGTCAGACATTTGACGAGTAGGGAGTGAGACTGTGTTGACTTCAACCAAAGAGGGATCATTCTGATTTTTTTCTAGTGTTTTTTAATGACCTGTGAAGGTAAATGAATAAGAAAAAAAAGCAATGATAAGAAGATTAGAGAATTAATCTTGTGACTCTTGGGGTGTCCAACCCCCAGGTTGGAAACCTCTGCTTTTAAGCTGT